GATGGCTTTGGTTCAAAACCAAGAATCTTTCCAAACTTTGAGTGGACAAGGCCTTTGCGAGCGCAGCGGGCGTCGCAGGTGGAACGAATAGTAACTTTGCTATCCTCTATATCCATAACTAATATAAAATGAAGTGAGAAATATCGGCATCGCTTTCAAATATGGAGCCAATTCAATTTTTGTGAAGACTAGCGTTTCATCGTTTTATTTGAATTATTGTTAATAAGATAAAAATATATTGATAAACTTGTATCCATCAAGATTCAAAAAAGTTTTCCGATTAGATTGTTCTTCTCAAATTTTGAACCAACCGATATTAATAAAAGACTAGATAATGAATAATTGCACATACACGGTTTTCATCTAACATATTATTTCCAAAATAAATGTTGATCGATAAATATTTGAACCCTCTACAATTCTCAATTTGAGATTTCGATTTGAGACAGTTCTCAATTTAATTTTGTTCGAAGATAAAAATGCATGTTAACTATTTTTAAACACAATCTAATTACTTGAATAATTTTGAATACCTTATTTCTTCTTCTCAATTTTTTCCTTTTTCGGAGAAATCATACAATATTTTTTCTCCAAAAATCTTATTCATGGAATGAAGGTCTTTCAATTATATTTCTCCAAATTTTTGAACTTTCATTTTTATGGTTCAGTAAACGGCAATTGTCAAAAATCTTAATAAGGAATCCATAGTCATTGCAGAATTAATTCTTATTGGAACAGCGATCTATTTGACGACATCTAGGTCTTACAATTTACAAAACTAGCATTCTCAACGGCCATTTATTATATTCACTTATTAAATTTAGGATAAAATTTGCATTTAAGAAAAGAATATTTGTGGAAAACATTAGTGTAATAAACAGAAATTCATCAAAAGTGACAGCTCTCAATTTTTTGACATTTGTAAATTCTAAATTGAATGAGAAAAATGAAATAATACTAAGCATAATACAATATTCTAGATTTAATTATAATTAGGAAAAAGTTAGTTTTGAGAGTACTTTTCATAGGCATATAGAATGAAATCTTCTGAAAAATAATATCACATAAACTCATATTATTTTCTAATATATAACTATTTTATATAAAAATCAAATTCAATGATCTTAAAAGCGAAGGATAAACCTCAAAATTTACGAATATAATGAGTGGGAATATAATGCTTATCTATCATAAAACCATATGAAATATCAATTTTTGCTTTACGCCTAATTTTTGACGACAATTAGCAAAAAATGTTAAATGTTAACACTCAATCCATTTGAATATGAAAAATAAAATTGACTTTGATTAAATGTTTTTATTTATCATGCAATTCTTCTTGCGACCAAAGATTTGAATAAAAGTTCAAAAAATAAGATAGCTTAAAAAATAACATACGGTAGTGTTTACTAATAGATGAATAGTATATAAATTCTATTAAAATGGATTTGATCCAAAAAAATATATAAAATTTGATCATAAATAAAATCGTTTTAAATTAAAATATATATTGTCCAAAGGTAATGATGGACATGGTTACTTTCGTATAAATATTGTCAATGAATGTTCTATTTTACAAAATGTATATAATAAAATAAACTCAATTTCATTTATATTTATTTTATTTGATTTATCATGAACTGATCCTCAAATACTTGGGTTTTCCGAAATCTAGTATAATTATATGCACAATGTGTTCATATATTTATTCAGAAGCTATTCGACTTAGAGGGAAAAAAAATTTTAATAAGGGATATATTTCATTACTCATTCGGATATAGATATTACATTTATTATTTAATTGAAACTTAATTATTGGATGAATACGTTTTTACGATAAAGTATCAATGGTTTGGGAAAATACAATTTTATACCTATGTGGATATTATCTTGCTTAAAAATTTAAGAATAATCATATTTTTGAGAGGGGTATTATTAATGTCGTCTGGCGGTTTTAAACAACAATGTGACTTATCGAATAATAGAATTAGCATGCGTGTTTGCACACTATATACATAGATGGAATTGATGTTCTTCCTTTATTTAGGTACCAAAACATGTTTGTAAAATCTCCTTTTTAGACGACAATAATTATTTTGTCACTTTTCGAGACGACAATGATAATTTTATCACTTTTCCAGACGACAATAAAACATCCTCTTTTTAAGATATCCAAATTATATATTATTTTTCAGAATGGATTTAGAACATAGAATTCATAACTTAAGCTCCTTATACGAATCTAAGAATATGTGTACAAATAGCTTATTCGTATTCATTCCCTTAAGAGTCGAATAGCCTCTATTTATTCCAAAGTTAATAAAGAAATAAAAAATATTGAAAATAAAAATTGCTGCTTATAGTTGGCTTTTTGTGTACAAATAGCGAATATTGGATTGTGACTGATGAAAATGATAATTTTGTCACTTTTCCAAACGAAAATATTTTTTAAATACGGTTATAAGTAAATGTTGCATTTATTAAGTTGATATCAATATAAAAACAAACAATAACGAATAAGATAAATGTAGTTGATAACTAATTTTCTGAGAACAAAAATAGTTAATAATTTTAAGGTAATTTATTATGGATAAATCTTTTACTTCAATCCATAAATCAACAAACTACACTGCATTTTTCATGAAAGGTATATAAGTTTTGTATTCATCAAATTTGCAACCAATAGGATAATGCCAATTAACTCCATTATTTTGGCAAACATATAATACTTTCCAGCTATGAACTGATTTAAGTGTGTGAATCCCTCCAAATCCTGGCCAACTTCCATTGGTGTCTAGTAAAGGTAGATAACCAATTGACGTATTACTTGTATCAGTAAAATAACTATATTGGTGCCATCGAATATGTATTGGAATCTGTGGAAGTTCAATCATTAATGAATATACATTCGCTGTTCCATTCGAAATTCTAAACTTATCATCAATTTGACTTAATATAGAAAAACAATTTTTGTCTATTGAATAATTGGCGTTTGCATCATTAAAATAACAAACTCTTGAGTTTTGATGTAATATTTTAAGCCACTTTGATCCATTGTATTCTATTAAATCATAGCCATTTAGTTTAACAACATTATGAAGTTTATAAGGATCATTAGAGAAAATGGCATCAAATCCATCCATAACTTAATTAATATTTCCCTAAAGTTATTAATGAATCATTTAATTTGTAGATAGTTACAATCTATGCAGTATGAAGATTTTTAATTAGAAAAAAATTGGACTCAACTCTAGAATGAAAATAAAGTTAAAAAAAGCTCTCAATATAACCTTATTTAGTGTTTAAGGTTTTCCTCCTATTAAATGTTTCAATTGAAAGAAATTTGGAAGGAATTATATATTCATATTTAACATATAACCTTGCTAAAAGTAAATTTACATATAATATAATGCATATATTTAGTAAAACGAATTCGTGTTTGTGAAATTGTAATTTTTTGGGTGTCAAATATTTGTGAATATTTGAAGTATACTTGTCTAATAAAATAAAGGTATTTATTCATATAATAATACAAAAACAAATAAATAAGAATATGGAATATAATGTTGATATTTAATTTTTTCTGTGCAAATTGAAAGAATTGGATCAAGCAAATTCATTGTGGTTAAATCTTTAAGTTCAATCCATAAATCCATGAATTGGACTGCAATTGGATAACAAGGAATATATCCATGATATGAATTCACTTTACAACCAATTGGAAAGTCCCAATTATATCCATTATTTTGGCCAACATAAAGTGAAGTATAACTGTATTTTGATGTCAATACATGAATTCCTCCGAATCCAAGCCAAGTCCCATTTGTATCTGACAGCTGTTCATAACCAATTGACGTATTACTTGTATCAGTAAAATAACTATATTGGTGCCATCGAATATGTTGTGGAATTTGTGGAAGTTCAAGCATTAATGAATATACATTCGCTGTTCCATTCGAAATTCTAAACTTATCATCAATTTTGCTTAATATGGAGAATAAATTCTTATTTGTCGAATAATTTGCATTATCATCCGTAAAATATCCATATCTTGAGTTATGATGAAATATTTTGAGCCAATGTGAATTATCATAAAAAATTACATCGTATCCATTGATTCTAACGTTATTGTCATGAAGAATAACAGATTCGTTATCAATATTTGTATATGTCATTCTTTAGTTTTAAAGGTAGTTGTTATTTTCTTGACATTAAAATTTTGAATCCAGATTTATCAGTTTTAACCTTATTATAAAATAATCTAAATCTTATTTTTGACATCATTTCATTACATCATGTGTTAAAAATATTAGAATCTTTATCAATATACTGTGATAAGTCATAAATCAAATATGATAAAGAACACATGTGAAAAATATATGGCTAAATTTATCAAATTAGAAAACAGAGATAACTAGAATTTGACTGATATTTTAGATTCGTCATACATAAACGGTGGAAAAACTCTTCTCATTGTTGGCTTAACTAAACCACATTTAATTATATCTTCAAATTGTGAAAAAATTGCAGAAGGCACTCAAGACAGCTATTGTTTCAAGCCAGTTAGAAACACACTTGAGCAATTTTCGTTTCATGACAATCCTAAACTAACTAGAATTGGAAATTATTCTTTTTACTTTTGTCTAAAATTAACAACGGTTGATTTGTCACCATGCACAAAGTTATCATCTATTGGATGCTATGCATTTTATAATTGCTCTTCCATAACAACATTCATTTTACCGGAGGGGTTACAAAATATTTCACAATATTCATTTTCATATACAAATATATCAACAATAAACATACCATCATCAGTTACTACGATCGACAAATTAGGAATATGTTATATTTACACTCTCAAGAGTATTACTTTTTCTCAAGGATCACTGCTTACAGAGATAACTTTCAATGCATTTTTTGTTACAAAATTGTTAACTTTTACTGTTCCTCAAAATGTAAGAAAAATAAGCGGAGTTGCTTTTAGTAGTGTTGGAACTATGTCAAGTATCTATGTTGATACATTGAATGAGTATTTTTGGAGTGATGATAAAGCTATATACACCAAAGACAAGACAACTATTGTTTATTGTGCATCTTATATTGGCGATTCATACACGATATTACCAACAGTTACAAAAATCAATGAAGGGTGTTTCATAAATTGTAAGTGCACTGAAATTATCATTCCAACGTCAATTACAGAAATACAAAGATATGCATTTAGTAATTCTAAGATCACTAGTATTCAAATTCCACCAAATGTAACCGTAATTCCATATGCTTGTTTTGCTGGAACAAATCTTCAATCTGTTATTATTCCAAATAATGTGACATCAATCGAGGCGTCTGCTTTTGCAAGTTGTAACTTGCTCACATATATTTGTGTACCTGAATCAGTTGATAAACTAGGTGGCGGATGTTTTCCTTCAAACAGCAATCTTGTACTCAATGTCTCTGAGAAATCTGAAATTAATATTGATCGACAATTACTTGTTATATCTAAAGATAATACATCTTTGATTCAATCAATGAGCACAATACCAAATATTGTAATTCCATCGAAAGTCAAATTAATTAAACTAAATGCATTCTTTGGAAATACAAATTTAGAAACTGTGACTTTTGATGGTGATTCCCAGTTTGAGAAAGTAGAAGGATCTGCCTTTGCAGATTGCAAAAAATTAAGGATGTTTGAATTTGGATCAAAATTACAAATAATTTCAAATAATGCATTTAAAAATTGTCCTCTTCCAATATCAATTTCTTTTCCCTCATCACTTTTAAAGATAGACATTAATGCCTTTTTAAATACCAAGTTGACTCAAATTACATTTAATTCCGATTCAGATTTAGAAATCGGAGACACTGCGTTTGCCAACTGCATTATGATTGATCAAATTCTGTTTTTGAACAAAGGTACAATTTCTTTGGGAACAAATTGTTTTGGAGGTTTAACAAAACTCAAATCAATACAGATTCCAAGAACAATAACAACTGTTGGAACAAGCTGTTTCTCAGGATCTGCTATTGATAGGGTAGCATTTGATCAAAATCAAATATCTTTTTCATCCCTTCCTGCTTCAATATTCAAAGATTGTACATATTTGACAACATTCACAATTCCATCAAATTGTGTATCACTTGGGGCAGAATGTTTAAGCAAAACAGGAATCACAAGTATTGATATTCCAGATAGCGTTACAATATTAGGTATACAATGTTTCAAAGATTGTTCTAATCTTAAGTCAATTGTTATTCGATCAACAAGTAATCTCGAACGAATTGATGTTGGTGTTTTTGAAGGGTGTTACAAATTCAGTGATGTAAGTTCTTTCGATTCACCAAATTTTGTAAGCGAGAGTAGTGCAATCTACAGTCATGATAAATCACACATGTATGTGTATCCTCCTGCATCACCAAGATTATACTTCAGTCTTCTGGAAGGTGTCGAACACATTGAGAGCGGTGCATTCTCAGGTTGTGCGAATGTTCAGGTTATTACTATTCCAGATGGCCACATCAAATCCATTGGTGAGAATGCTTTCCGAGGATGTATCAACCTTAGACAGATCACACTTCCATCTTCGATCAAGTCAATTGGTGTAGGCGCATTCACAAACTGTCCTCTCCTGACATGTGGAATCATCATTCAGAACTCAACATCATCATTCATTCAGATTCTTAAGAAATCAGGACTTGATGTTAAATCACAATTCTATTGTTCTCGATTCTCATGCAGGCAGAACTCGATTTACTCGCCTAGTATTCCAATATCTTTCTTTGTTGTGTTTATATCAATTTAAACATAAAATTTAATAAACAATTACATAATTTCCTTTGATGTTGTTTTTTAAGGCTGTGTCAGGTTTTCGATTTTGAGGACCTAAAAATCCTCTAATACAAAGATAAAAACCAAAACATTAGAATTTCCTTACAAAGGTGATTGTACCCCATATGAAATACACCTTCCAGAAGGATATTATTTTTTTGAATCTTGGGGAGCTCGAGGTGGAGGCACTCAAGGAGCTCCCGGTGGCTATACCTCTGGACGCATGCACCTTTTCTCTCAAACCACTTTTTATGTTTTAGTTGGAGGTCGAGGTTTGGATGAAATCAGAACAAATTCCACTATATTAGGTGGTTGTGGGGGCGGTGGAAATGGAGGTGTTAGCTTCAAATATGAATATGTTTATGGTCCAAGTGGTGGCGGTGCTACCTCTGTTTTTCTAAATTATTCAGATATGGATTCTCGAATATTAGTATCGGGAGCTGGTGGAGGTGGTTATGCATGGGGAGCAGGTGGTTTTGGTGGTTGTTTGCAAGCTGGAAATGGAATGGGTGAAAATTATACTTCTTTGGCTGCAAACCAAACGTATGGATTTTTGAAAGGCCGAGGCGAAAATGGTCGAGATGCAATTATCACTGGAAATGGAGGAGGTGAAGGAGGTGCAGGTGCTGGAGGAGGATACTTTGGTGGTACTGTATCACATGCTATGGGTAACTTTTCCAACACTGGAGGATCCGGAGGAAGTTCCTATATTTCCGGTCATGAAGGATGTAAAATCCACCAGAAATTGAAGTTTTACTCAACAAAGGTTCTTTCTGGAAATGAATTATTTGCTCTTCCTGACAGTAGAATGAATAGAGGAAACAATGGAAATGGGTATTTTCGTATCAAAATCATTGATGATTGTACGATAAAAGATATTGTTTATTTTAGAATGAATTTATATTTACTTATTTTTAATTCAATAAATATATCATGAGTATCATGAAAATTGTTCTCTTTTATGTGATGCGAATTAAAATATAAGTTTTTATATGTATAGTATCTGAGTTTTTAATTGTTTCTGCCAATTAATTATATTATATTGATATAGTGATCAAAAGCTTATAGCGATGTTTCAAATCAGCTTTCAAAAATATGAGTTAAAGTCAATTGGGTGTAGTTGCACCATCAAGGATTATATATTATCACTAATTGAAATCCTCCTAAATTTGTTTCTATCTAATTAATAAGGAATCTATGTCATTCATGTTAATCGAATCAATCAGGTTTATCAACAAAATATTAAGAGTCTGCTGCAACGATAGTGGGTATTCAATTTTTGGGTACTTTTAAAAATAATCGTTATCGTCCATTTTTAGGGATGCGTTAAACACGCCATTTGACCGGGCGTACATTTTTTTGTTCGCCCAAAAATTTCGCCATTTGAGAAATTCAAAAATTAAAAATAAAATTTTAATCTTGATTTTTTTATTTTCGTGATTTTTTTGAAACTTACATAAGCGATGAAATACTTTTTTAAGTAATCTTTATTATATATAAATATATCTTAATAAATTTAATTCCTTAAGGTAGAGCGTGTTCAAATTTAAAATCTCATACAAAATTTCTTAATGGCGTATTTTTCTGAGGTCGCCCAAATAAAGGCGAATTCAAAATTGAGAACTCCAAGGCGTATGGCGAGTATTCAAAAGTACGCCACTTACAAAATATTGAATGTGGATTATCAATTTTTTGGCGTGTTCAATTTCAAATTTTGATATTTATGTTTATTTTATTCAGTATAATGCTAAGAATTAAAATATAAAATTCATAGAATTTTTCTTTGAAAATATTTTACATTTTTATTAGACCACTCCTAGACTAGTCATCAGGTTCTCCTCAGATCATCCTCAGACTACTCCTTATCAGATTACTCATCATCCTCAGACTACTCCTTAGACCCCTCCTCATCAGACTACTCCTCAGATCTTCCTCATAAGACTCCTCCTCAGATCTTCCTCCTGAGACTACTCTTCAGACTACTCCTTAGAGTCCTCCTCATCAGACTAGTCCTGGACTAGTCCTCAGACTACTTCCTGAAACTACTCCTCAGATTATCGCAGACTCCTCTAGATTATCCCAAACTCCTCAGTATACTCCTCAGACTCCTCCTCAGATTATGCTCAGATTATCCTCAAACTCCTCAGATTATCCTCAGACTACTCCTCAAACTCCTCAGTCTAATCCTCAGACTCCTCCTCAGATTATCCTCAAACTCCTCCTCAGATTATCCTCAAACTACTCCTCGGTCTAATCCTCAGACTCCTCCTCAGATTATCCTCAAACTCCTCAGATTATCCTCAAACTCCTCAAACTACTCCTCGGTCAAATCTCAGACTCCTCCTCAGATTATCCTCAGATCCTCCTCAGATTATCTCAAACTCCTAAACTACTCCTCGGTCTAATCCTCAGACTCCTCCTCAGATTATCCTCAAACTCCTCCTCAGATTATCCTCAACACCTCCTCATTACCTCAAATCCTCAATTACTCTCTGGTTAATCCTCAGACTCCTCCTCAGATTATCCTCAAACTCCTCCTCAGATTACTCAAACACCTCCTCAGATTATCCTCAAACTCCTCCTCAGATTATCCTCAACTCCTCCTCAGATTATCCTCAGACCCTCCTCAGATTATCCTCAAACTCCTCCTCAGATTATCCTCAGACTCCTCCTCAGATTATCCTCAAACTCCTCAAACTACTACTCGTCTAATCCTCAGACTCCTCCTCAGATTATCCTCAAATCCTCCTCAGATTATCCTCAGACTCCTCCTCAGATTATCCTCAGACTCCTCCTCAGATTATCCTCAGACTCCTCCTCAGATTATCCTCAGACTCCTCCTCAGATTATCCTCAAACTCCTCTCAGATTATCCTCAGACTCCTCCTCAGATTATTCCTCAGACTCCTCCTCAGATTATCTCAACTCCTCAAACTACTCCTCGGGTCAAATCCTCAGACTCCTCCTCAGATTATCCTCAACTCCTCCTCAGATTATCCTCAACACCTCCTCAGATTATCCTCAGCTCCTCCTCAGATTATCCTCAAACTCCTCCTCAGATTATCCTCAGACTCCTCTCAGATTATCCTCAAACTCTCAAACTACTCCTCGGTCAAATCCTCAGACTCCTCCTCAGATTATCCTCAAACTCCTCCTCAGATTATCCTCAAACTCCTCCTCAGATTATCCTCAAACTCCTCAAACTACTACTCGGTCTAATCCTCAGACTCCTCCTCAGATTATCCTCAAACTCCTCAGATTATCCTCAAACTCCTCAAACTACTCCTCGGTCAAATCCTCAGACTCCTCCTCAGATTATCCTCAGACTCCTCCTCAGATTATCCTCAAACTCCTCAAACTACCTCTCAAATCCTCAGACTCCTCCTCAGATTATCCTCAAACTCCTCCTCAGATTATCCTCAAACACCTCCTCAGATTATCCTCAAACTCCTCAAACTACTCCTCGGTCTAATCCTCAGACTCCTCCTCAGATTTCCTCAAACTACTCCTCAGATTATCTCAGACTCCTCTCAGATTATCCTCAAACTCCTCAAACTACTCCTCAGACTCCTCTCAAATTATCCTCAGACTCCTCCTCAGATTATCCTCAAACTCCTCCTCAGATTATCCTCAGACTCCTCCTCAGATTATCCTCAAACTCCTCAAACTACTCTGTCTACTCCTTCAGTATCCTCGACTCCTCCTCAGATTATCCTCAGACTCCTCCTCAGATTATCCTCAGACTCCTCCTCAGATTATCCTCAGACTCCTCCTCAGATTATCTCAGACTCCTCCTCAGATTATCCTCAAACTCCTCAAACTACTCCTCGGTCTAATCTCAGACTCCTCCTCAGATTATCCTCAGACTCCTCCTCAGATTATCCTCAACACTCCTCAGATTATCCTCAAACTCCTCCTCAGATTATCCTCAGACTCCTCCTCAGATTATCCTCAGACTCCTCCTCAGATTATCCTCAAACTCCTCCTCAGATTATCCTCAGACTCCTCCTCAGATTATCCTCAAACTCCTCAAACTACTCCTCGGTCTAATCCTCAGACTCCTCCTCAGATTATCCTCAGACTCCTCCTCAGATTATCCTCAGACTCCTCCTCAGATTATCCTCAGACTCCTCCTCAGATTATCCTCAGACTCCTCCTCAGATTATCCTCAAAACTCCTCAAACTACTCCTCGGTCTAATCCTCAGACTCCTCCTCAGATTATCCTCAAACTCCTCAAACTACTCCTCAGACTCCTCCTCAGATTATCCTCAGACTCCTCCTCAGATTATCCTCAAACACCTCCTCAGATTATCCTCAAACTCCTCCTCAGATTATCCTCAGACTCCTCCTCAGATTATCCTCAGACTCCTCCTCAGATTATCCTCAAACTCCTCAAAACTACTCTCGGTCTAATCCTCAGACTCCTCCTCAGATTATCCTCAGACTCCTCCTCAGATTATCTCAAACACCTCCTCAGATTATCCTCAGACTCCTCCTCAGATTATCCTCAAACTCCTCCTCAGATTATCCTCAAACTCCTCCTCAGATTATCCTCAAACTCCTCAAACTACTCCTCGGTCAAATCCTCAGACTCCTCTCAGATTATCCTCAAACTCCTCCTCAGATTATCCTCAAACTCCTCCTCAGATTATCCTCAAACTCCTCAGATTATCCTCAAACTCCTCAAACTACTCCTCGGTCAAATCCTCAGACTCCTCCTCAGATTATCCTCAGACTCCTCCTCAGATTATCCTCAAACTCCTCAAACTACTCCTCGGTCTAATCCTCAGACTCCTCCTCAGATTATCCTCAAACTCCTCCTCAGATTATCCTCAAACACCTCCTCAGATTATCCTCAAACTCCTCAAACTACTCCTCGGTCTAATCCTCAGACTCCTCCTCAGATTATCCTCAAACTACTCCTCAGATTATCCTCAGACTCCTCCTCAGATTATCCTCAAACTCCTCAAACTACTCCTCAGACTCCTCCTCAAATTATCCTCAGACTCCTCCTCAGATTATCCTCAAACTCCTCCTCAGATTATCCTCAGACTCCTCCTCAGATTATCCTCAAACTCCTCAAACTACTACTCGGTCTAATCCTCAGACTCCTCCTCAAATTATCCTCAGACTCCTCCTCAGATTATCCTCAGACTCCTCCTCAGATTATCCTCAGACTCCTCCTCAGATTATCCTCAGACTCCTCAGATTATCCTCAAACTCCTCAAAACTACTCCTCGGTCTAATCCTCAGACTCTCCTCAGATTATCCTCAAACTCCTCCTCAGATTATCCTCAGACTCCTCCTCAGATTATCCTCAGACTCCTCCTCAGATTATCCTCAGACTCCTCCAGATTATCCTCAGACTCCTCCTCAGATTATCCTCAGACCTCCTCAGATTATCTCAAACTCCTCAAATTATCCTCAGACTCCTCCTCAGATTATCCTCAGACTCCTCCTCAAATTATCCTCACTCCTCCTCAGATTATCCTCAGACTCCTCCTCAGATTATTCTCAAACTCCTCCTCAGATTATCCTCAGACTCCTCCTCAGATTATCCTCAAACTCCTCAAACTACTCCTCGGTCTAATCCTCAGACTCCTCCTCAGATTATCCTCAAACTCCTCCTCAGATTATCCTCAGACTCCTCAAACTACTCCTCAGACTCCTCCTCAAATTATCCTCAAACTCCTCCTCAGACTCCTCCTCAGATTATCCTCAGACTCCTCCTCAGATTATCCTCAGACTCCTCCTCAGATTATCCTCAAACTCCTCCTCAGATTATCCTCAAACTCCTCCTCAGATTATCCTCAGACTCCTCCTCAGATTATCCTCAAACTCCTCCTCAGATTATCCTCAGACTCCTCCTCAGATTATCCTCAGACTCCTCCTCAGATTATCCTCAGACTCCTCCTCAGATTATCCTCAAACTCCTCCTCAGATTATCCTCAGACTCCTCCTCAGATTATCCTCAGACTCCTCCTCAGATTATCCTCAGACTCCTCCTCAGATTATCCTCAAACTCCTCAAATTATCCTCAGACTCCTCCTCAGATTATCCTCAGACTCCTCCTCAAATTATCCTCAGACTCCTCCTCAGATTATCCTCAGACTCCTCCTCAAATTATCCTCAGACTCCTCCTCAGATTATCCTCAGATCCTCCTCAGATTATCCTCAGACTCCTCCTCAGATTATCCTCAAACTCCTCAAACTACTCCTCGTCTAATCCTCAGACTCCTCCTCAGATTATCCTCAACTCCTCCTCAGATTATCCTCAAACACCTCCTCAGATTATCCTCAAACTCCTCCTCAGATTATCCTCAGACTCCTCCTCAGATTATCCTCAGACTCCTCCTCAGATTATCCTCAGACTCCTCCTCAGATTATCCTCAAACTCCTCAAATTATCCTCAGACTCCTCCTCAGATTATCCTCAGACTCCTCCTCAAATTATCCTCAGACTCCTCCTCAGATTATCCTCAGACTCCCCTCAATTATCCTCAGACTCCTCCTCAGATTATCCTCAGACTCCTCCTCAGATTATCCTCAGACTCCTCCTCAGATTATCCTCAAACTCCTCAAACTACTCCTCGGTCTAATCCTCAGACTCCTCCTCAGATTATCCTCAAACTACTCCTCAGATTATCCTCAAACACCTCCTCAGATTATCCTCAAACTCCTCCTCAGATTATCCTCAGACTCCTCCTCAGATTATCCTCAGACTCCTCCTCAGATTATCCTCAAACTCCTCAAACTACTCCTCGGTCTAATCCTCAGACTCCTCAGATTATCCTCAAACTCCTCCTCAGATTATCCTCAAACACCTCCTCAGATTATCCTCAGACTCCTCCTCAGATTATCCTCAGACTCCTCAAACTACTCCTCAGACTCCTCAAATTATCTCAAACTCCTCCTCAACTCCTCCTCAGATTATCCTCAAACTCCTCCTCAAACTCCTCCTCAGATTATCCTCAAACTCCTCCTCAAACTCTCCTCAGATTATCCTCAAACTCCTCTCAGACTCCTCCTCAGTATCCTCAAACTCCTCTCAGACTCCTCCTCAGATTATCCTCAGACTCCTCCTCAGATTATCCTCAAACTCCTCCTCAGATTATCCTCAAACTCCTCCTCAGATTATCCTCAAAACTCCTCCTCAGATTATCCTCAGACTCCTCCTCAGATTATCCTCAGACTCCTCCTCAGATTATCCTCAGACTCCTCCTCAGATTATCCTCAAACTCCTCAAATTATCCTCAGACTCCTCCTCAGATTATCCTCAGACTCCTCCTCAGATTATCCTCAGACTCCTCCTCAAATTATCCTCAGACTCCTCCTCAGATTATCCTCAAACTCCTCAAATTATCCTCAAACTCCTCCTCAGATTATCCTCAGACTCCTCCTCAGATTATCCTCAGACTCCTCCTCAAATTATCCTCAGACTCCTCCTCAGATTATCCTCAGACTCCTCCTCAGATTATTCTCAAACTCCTCAGATTATCCTCAACTCCTCCTCAGATTATCCTCAAACTCCTCAAACTACTCCTCGGTCTAATCCTCAGACTCCTCCTCAGATTATCCTCAAACTCCTCCTCAGATTATCCTCAAACACCTCCTCAGATTATCCTCAAACTCCTCCTCAGATTATCCTCAGACTCCTCCTCAAATTATCCTCAGACTCCTCCTCAGATTATCCTCAAACTCCTCCTCAGATTATCCTCAGACTCCTCCTCAGATTATCCTCAGACTCCTCCTCAGATTATCCTCAGACTCCTCCTCAGATTATCCTCAGACTCCTCCTCAGATTATCCTCAGACTCCTCCTCAGATTATCCTCAAACTCCTCAAACTACTCCTCGGTCTAATCCTCAGACTCCTCCTCAGATTATCCTCAGACTCCTCCTCAGATTATCCTCAGACTCCTCCTCAGATTATCCTCAGACTCCTCCTCAGATTATCCTCAAACTCCTCCTCAGATTATCCTCAGACTCCTCCTCAGATTATCCTCAGACTCCTCCTCAGATTATCCTCAGACTCCTCCTCAGATTATCCTCAAACTCCTCCTCAGACTCCTCCTCAGATTATCCTCAAACTCCTCCTCAGACTCCTCCTCAGATTATCCTCAGACTCCTCCTCAGATTATCCTCAAACTCCTCCTCAGATTATCCTCAAACTCCTCCTCAGATTATCCTCAAACTCCTCCTCAGATTATCCTCAGACTCCTCCTCAGATTATCCTCAGACTCCTCCTCAGATTATCCTCAGACTCCTCCTCAGATTATCCTCAAACTCCTCAAATTATCCTCAGACTCCTCCTCAGATTATCCTCAGACTCCTCCTCAGATTATCCTCAGACTCCTCCTCAAATTATCCTCAGACTCCTCCTCAGATTATCCTCAAACTCCTCAAATTATCCTCAAACTCCTCCTCAAATTATCCTCAGACTCCTCCTCAGATTATCCTCAGACTCCTCCTCAAATTATCCTCAGACTCCTCCTCAGATTATCCTCAGACTCCTCCTCAGATTTTTCTCAAACTCCTCCTCAGATTATCCTCAGACTCCTCCTCAGATTATCCTCAAACTCCTCAAACTACTCCTCGGTCTAATCCTCAGACTCCTCCTCAGATTATCCTCAAACTCCTCCTCAGATTATCCTCAAACACCTCCTCAGATTATCCTCAAACTCCTCCTCAGATTATCCTCAGACTCCTCCTCAAATTATCCTCAGACTCCTCCTCAGATTATCCTCAAACTCCTCAAACTACTCCTCGGTCTAATCCTCAGACTCCTCCTCAGATTATCCTCAGACTCCTCCTCAGATTATCCTCAGACTCCTCCTCAGATTATCCTCAGACTCCTCCTCAGATTATTCTCAAACTCCTCCTCAGATTATCCTCAGACTCCTCCTCAGATTATCCTCAAACTCCTCCTCAGATTATCCTCAAACACCTCCTCAGATTATCCTCAAACTCCTCCTCAGATTATCCTCAGACTCCTCCTCAGATTATCCTCAGACTCCTCCTCAGATTATCCTCAGACTCCTCCTCAGATTATCCTCAGACTCCTCCTCAGATTATCCTCAAACTCCTCAAACTACTCCTCGGTCTAATCCTCAGACTCCTCCTCAGATTATCCTCAAACTCCTCCTCAGATTATCCTCAAACACCTCCTCAGATTATCCTTAAACTCCTCCTCAGATTATCCTCAGACTCCTCCTCAAATTATCCTCAGACTCCTCCTCAGATTATCCTCAAACTCCTCAAACTACTCCTCGGTCTAATCCTCAGACTCCTCCTCAGATTATCCTCAAACTCCTCCTCAGATTATCCTCAGACTCCTCCTCAGATTATCCTCAGACTCCTCCTCAGATTATCCTCAGACTCCTCCTCAGATTATCCTCAGACTCCTCCTCAGATTATCCTCAAACTACTCCTCGGTCTAATCCTCAGACTCCTCCTCAGATTATCCTCAAACTACTCCTCAGATTATCCTCAAACACCTCCTCAGATTATCCTCAAACTCCTCCTCAGATTATCCTCAGACTCCTCCTCAGATTATCCTCAGACTCCTCCTCAGATTATCCTCAAACTCCTCAAACTACTCCTCGGTCTAATCCTCAGACTCCTCCTCAGATTATCCTCAAACTCCTCCTCAGATTATCCTCAAACACCTCCTCAGATTATCCTCAGACTCCTCCTCAGATTATCCTCAGACTCCTCAAACTACTCCTCAGACTCCTCCTCAGATTATCCTCAAACTCCTCAAATTATCCTCAGACTCCTCCTCAGATTATCCTCAGACTCCTCCTCAAATTATCCTCAGACTCCTCCTCAGATTATCCTCAAACTCCTCCTCAGACTCCTCCTCAGATTATCCTCAGACTCCTCCTCAGATTATCCTCAGACTCCTCCTCAGATTATCCTCAAACTCCTCCTCAGACTCCTCCTCAGATTATCCTCAAACTCCTCCTCAAATTATCCTCAGACTCCTCCTCAGATTATCCTCAAACTCCTCCTCAGACTCCTCCTCAGATTATCCTCAGACTCCTCCTCAAATTATCCTCAGACTCCTCCTCAGATTATCCTCAAACTCCTCCTCAGACTCCTCCTCAGATTATCCTCAAACTCCTCAAACTACTCCTCGGTCTAATCCTCAGACTCCTCCTCAGATTATCCTCAAACTCCTCAAACTACTCCTCGGTCTAATCCTCAGACTCCTCCTCAGATTATCCTCAGACTCCTCCTCAGATTATCCTCAAACTCCTCAAACTACTCCTCGGTCTAATCCTCAGACTCCTCCTCAGATTATCCTCAAACTACTCCTCAGATTATCCTCAAACTCCTCCTCAGATTATCCTCAGACTCCTCCTCAGATTATCCTCAGACTCCTCCTCAGATTATCCTCAGACTCCTCCTCAGATTATCCTCAAACTCCTCCTCAGACTCCTCCTCAGATTATCCTCAGACTCCTCCTCAGATTATCCTCAAACTCCTCAAACTACTCCTCGGTCTAATCCTCAGACTCCTCCTCAGATTATCCTCAAACTCCTCAAACTACTCCTCAGACTCCTCCTCAGATTATCCTCAAACTCCTCAAACTACTCCTCGGTCTAATCCTCAGACTCCTCCTCAGATTATCCTCAAACTCCTTAAACTACTCCTCGGTCAAATCCTCAGACTCCTCCTCAGATTATCCTCAGACTCCTCCTCAGATTATCCTCAGACTCCTCCTCAAATTATCCTCAGACTCCTCCTCAGATTATCCTCAAACTACTCCTCAGACTCCTCCTCAGATTATCCTCAGACTCCTCCTCAGATTATCCTCAAACTCCTCCTCAGACTCCTCCTCAGATTATCCTCAAACTCCTCAAACTACTCCTCGGTCTAATCCTCAGACTCCTCCTCAGATTATCCTCAAACTCCTCAAACTACTCCTCGGTCTAATCCTCAGACTCCTCCTCAGATTATCCTCAGACTCCTCCTCAGATTATCCTCAAACTCCTCAAACTACTCCTCGGTCTAATCCTCAGACTCCTCCTCAGATTATCCTCAAACTACTCCTCAGATTATCCTCAGACTCCTCCTCAGATTATCCTCAGACTCCTCCTCAGATTATCCTCAGACTCCTCCTCAGATTATCCTCAAACTCCTTAAACTACTCCTCGGTCAAATCCTCAGACTCCTCCTCAGATTATCCTCAAACTCCTCAAACTACTCCTCGGTCTAATCCTCAGACTCCTCCTCAGATTATCCTCAGACTCCTCCTCAGATTATCCTCAAACTCCTCAAACTACTCCTCGGTCTAATCCTCAGACTCCTCCTCAGATTATCCTCAAACTACTCCTCAGATTATCCTCAAACTCCTCCTCAGATTATCCTCAGACTCCTCCTCAGATTATCCTCAGATCCTCCTCAGATTATCCTCAAACTCCTTAAACTACTCCTCGGTCAAATCCTCAGACTCCTCCTCAGATTATCCTCAGACTCCTCCTCAGATTATCCTCAAACTCCTCAAACTACTCCTCGGTCTAATCCTCAGACTCCTCCTCAGATTATCCTCAGACTCCTCCTCAGATTATCCTCAAACTCCTCAAACTACTCCTCAGACTCCTCCTCAAATTATCCTCAGACTCCTCCTCAGATTATCCTCAAACTCCTCCTCAGATTATCCTCAAACACCTCCTCAGATTATCCTCAGACTCCTCCTCAGATTATCCTCAGACTCCTCCTCAGATTATCCTCAGACTCCTCCTCAGATTATCCTCAAACTCCTCCTCAGACTCCTCCTCAGATTATCCTCAAACTCCTCCTCAGATTATCCTCAAACTCCTCAAACTACTCCTCGGTCTAATCCTCAGACTCCTCCTCAGATTATCCTCAGACTCCTCCTCAGATTATCCTCAAACTCCTCAAACTACTCCTCGGTCTAATCCTCAGACTCCTCCTCAGATTATCCTCAGACTCCTCCTCAGATTATCCTCAAACTCCTCAAACTACTCCTCGGTCTAATCCTCAGACTCCTCCTCAGATTATCCTCAAACTACTCCTCAGATTATCCTCAAACACCTCCTCAGATTATCCTCAGACTCCTCCTCAGATTATCCTCAAACTACTCCTCAGATTATCCTCAGACTCCTCCTCAGATTATCCTCAAACTCCTCCTCAGATTATCCTCAAACTACTCCTCGGTCTAATCCTCAGACTCCTCCTCAGATTATCCTCAGACTCCTCCTCAGATTATCCTTAAACTCCTCAAACTACTCCTCAGACTACTCCTCAGACTACTCCTCAAACTCCTCAGATTATCCTCAAACTGCTCAGACTCCTCCTCAGATTATCCTCAGATTATCACTTTACATATATATATCGATAACTAAATAATTACTTATTATACTTTCTTTATTTTTTTAATTTTAAAATAATATTAATATATCTTTCTACGTTTAATGATGAAAAGAGAAAGAGGAGTAAAAAGAGGAAAGAGAAAAGAAAGAGAAGAAAAAAAAAAGAGAAAGAAAGAAAAAAAGGACGGTGATAATTTTGTATTGTTTTGTTATTCGGCCGAATGGCGGGTACGAAGTAGCCGCCATTCGGCCCCAAAAATGGAGTATTATTCTATTTTTAAACGGTCATGGCGTAAAACCGTCGCATCCCTAGTCCATTTTAATAAATGTGTTTTTTTAATATTATCTCATGTATTTGATGAAAATGATTAAAAAGTAACACATAATTTACGTTTCATTGCAGCAGACCCTTAATGGCAACCGCTATAGGTGTGTATAATGATAATTTTTTTATTCTGAATATGTTAAGATGATTTCTGATCAAGTAAAATCATGTATATTAGAATGTTGAGATTAAGAGGAAGAAAACATATGAAGGATTGGCATTTAAGAGAACTTATATATGTAATGATGATTCGACCATGGCAGTTCCAAATGCCTGCGGCATGTTCTACATCTGTGAATAAATAGCCGGATGTCTTAGTGAATGCATATGGATGAGATTCAGAATTATCATAAAATTCGTCTGTTGCTTGAATATCACCTTCTGGGATGATAGCATCACGTGATAATGCCCACGAACTCCCACCACCTGCACCACCTGCTCTGTTCTGTGATGAAAATCCACCAAACCAACCAGATCCGGCACCTACGTTATCATTTTTTCTCCATTTGGAACTGATTTTGGATTCTTATTAGGACCAAATCGTGCCGCTTCTCCTGTTCCGAAAGTAAATCCATTTGTAGAATTTGCAAAATATTCATGTTTCAGAGTTCCCTCCAAAAACCAGCTTTGTGCAGCGAGGTTTCCTCCTGCTCCTCCTGAACCATCTTCACTCATGCCATATTGGCCACAATCATCATCTGTTCCCCCTCCACCACCGCTAACTAAAACTCGATGCCATAAATTATTTTTCAAAAATTTGACAGCGGTTTGACCACCGCCGCTGTCTGTTCCTATATATTGATTATCATTGCTATACCAATTTTCAGAGCTCCCTCCGCCACCATAACCTCCTCTGTTTCGATATTCGTTAAAGCATCTATTTGTTGATCTTTCTTGGAATTTGTATCCAAAAATTCCTTTACCTCCTATGGTCAAAAAAGTGAAGGTGTCAGAATGGAGAATAATAGTGCCTGATATATAACCTCCTGCACCACCATTGTTTGGAGTTCTTTCACAATTAGTATTGCCACTGTAGCGCCGCACAATAGAATCGTCGATACAAGAGTTATTATCGAATCTATATGAAGACGATTTATTATTTGGAGAGCCACCTGATGCTCCATATAATTGAAATATATATTTGCCACGTGAAAGTAGGATTTGATAATCTGTGCAAATATGGTTAGATTCACATGGATACTCAAATATATATCTGTTTGAATTGGAATAAACTTTTTTAACTGCACCAGGAACAGATTCGTTATATAATTGGCATGATTTCATTTTTCATAGTATTTTTACAAAACAAAGTTTTGGCAAAAAATCAGCATCAACGATGCTGAAAAGTCAAAATAACATTTTAATTTTAAACTGAAGAAAAATAAAACACCGAATGATATATAATGAAAATGAATCAAATATGAAACTAATTTCAATAACAATTGTTAAAATTATTTATTTTGAATACAGCTCAACTTCTTGAATTTGAAAAATTAAATTTTGAATAATATAAGGGTGCACTTACCACTTTCTGACATTCTCTCAATTTTTCTGACATTTTAGTTTTTTAACCAAATTTTCTAATGTAAAAAGTCATTAACTTTGTTCGGGAAGAAGTTATTTTAATTCATTACCTAGTATCTTATATCACTGTTATACTTTTTTGCAATCACAATAAAGATATTTTGATATTATAGGAGCATGTCAGAAAGTGGTAAGTGCACCCTTAAGAGCATGTCAAAAAAAAATATATATATATACGGTAATTTTATCAATGGAATCATAATTAAACAAAGCTTCAGACATCTGGAAAGTTCTTGTCAAAAAATAATATTTAAGGGTGCACCCAAATGAAATATTACTTTCTGACTTACTTCCATAATAACAACTATATCAGGCACTATTACTTTGAATAGTAAAAAAGAATAACAACTATATCAGGCACTATACAGTGATTTATAATATAACTTTTTCACAAACAAAAACATTAAAATTTTACAACTTAAAATCGGGATAAAAAGTTTTGTTGTCAAAATTTTTGAGAGAATGTCAGATATTGGTAAGTGTATAATTAATCAAACAAAAGATAACAAATAAAATTATCTGATATTGAATGTATTTTGATAATGACATTGAGATGAAAACATTTTTGTAAGTTCTGGATTTCGATTATATTGGTGAATAACTGCTGGTTTAAAGCCAGTTGATGAATCACAAAAAGAACCAAGTTTATCAATGTGCCAAATACTTCGCATCGTTTCATTAAGGATAACAGCTGATATAGAAGCTAAGTTTGGATCTACAACAACATGAAGGTCAATTTCGTTTGGAATATGACTATAAATCAAAACATTATATATTGTTTGATCATTCAGTGGCTTCTCGTGAAAAATCCATGTAGAAGACAAAATAGAAACTGTTTTATAAACAGAATCTTTGTCGCCAAGAATTAAGCCATTGCAAATAATATTTTTGTTTAAAAAATATTCTGTTTTCATGAAATTGATTCTTGAGATCCAAACATCATTGAATTTTTCTTCACCAAATTTGATTCGTTCATCACTAACATGAAGAGATTTATCGTCAAATGTGAATGGATCACTTTGGAAATGAGTATCACCCCAGTCAAAATAAAGAAGACGATCAATAGATTCATAAAATAGTTCAATGAATTCTTTAATAATAATATATCGTGTGTACATCTTCTCGTATTCAATGTTACAAAATAATGTTGTTGGAATCCATGAAATACCACATTCTTCGAATTTAGATGAAATTGGTTTGTCTGAGAACATGAAGATTTTTCCTTTGAATCCAACACTTCGCAAACTAATTGCCGAATATGGTTCTGCTGAATTTCCAATGTTTGTCATGATACAAACATCTCGTTCTGTAGATCTAGATATATTAATGTTTTTATCATTTTCAATGTCACAGAATTGGCATTTTGAATAATCAATTTTTTTGTAAAAACTTTCTTTAAGTTTAGATTTGTAGTAAGAAATAAATTTTTCATTGAAATTTTTATATGGAAATAGATTAATTATGATGTCATTCATTGTTGCATCAAGTTTTATGTTGATATCATTGTGAAAACTGAAAAAGAAAATATTGATTAGTAAAATTATTTTAAGATTGAATTTTGGAGTTTGTAAATGCTTCATAAAATAGTATGAAAACAGAATAATAAGAATTCTGAGTGTTTCTAATATCATTTTGCGAAAAATAAAAGTTTTGCTTTGTAATGTAATAATCTTGTAGCCTTTATATGTAATTTTCACTTGGATATGATCAGAGATTTCCCAATCTGTAACAATTCTGAATGAAATTCTTGAAACATTAACTGGAATTTCTGAAAATTCTTGATTATCAGGTCGTAGAGTGGAATTAAGGTTTATATTATGCATTTTATATGGACTAACAACAAACATTTTGTTTTTGTTATGGAATTTAGGAGTAATAAGAATACTTTTGTAAGAAAACCTTTCTGGAATTTCTATTTCGAGAACTTGTGAAAGATAACTGTCGTAATTATTTTTTACGATCGATGGATATAAATATTTTGTGTATTCCAAGCTCTTAATCTGAGAAAAGAAAAAAAGAAAGCATTTAATTTTTAAAAAAGTGACACAAACAAAACTCAAAAACAATAGGTTAATCATCTATAAATTGAAGAATGTAAGACTGAAATTTATATTTTCAAAGATATAAGCTATCAGTACCCTGGTGGACATGCAGAGGCAACTATTACAATTTCAAGAGAAATTGATATCTTTATATTTATCGGATCTACAGGCGAAAACTATCAGGGCCTGATATAGGATGATATTTTGGTAAAGAAGTTTCACAGTTAAGTATTCCTTCTGAAGGGCGTTGATGATGTATATATGGTGGTGGGACCAATTCACTAAGTGGGGTTTCTGCATTTGTATATATAACTGATAGATTGACAAAAGAAATTTGTGGCACATGTTCGATAGATAACACAATTTCCTCTAGAAGAAGAAACTGTATGAGATGAAGTTTTTGTGCCATTAAATCCAGAAATAGAAATAAGAAATTTTGTTTGATCTCATTTTCAGGCTCGAATTTCGGGAAAAATAAAATTTATATTTATAACAGAAAAAGTCATTTAACTTTCTTTTGTCAGATCGAAGCAATTTCACCAAAATTTAAAAAATTACAGATAAGTCAAAATTTAAAAAATTACAGATAAGTCAAAATTTAAAAAATTACAGATAAGTCAAATTTTAAAAGAAATAATTCCTAACAGAGTTGACTATCATGGTAATCAAATTCTATATTATGCATGCCAATCCCAAAATGGTGAAATATGTAAATTTTTATTCAACTCTACTTATGCAATTAATATAAAAGTCAATGATGGATACGACTTGGAAAATAAACCTCTTCATTTGGCAGCTAAGTGGAATAATACAGAAGCTACCAAACTTCTTATTTCATCAGGTGCAAAAGTTAATGAAACAAATCATAGATCTCAAACTCCTCTTTTTTATGCAATTAAGCGGAATAACATAGAAATATCAGAAATTCTTATTTCAAATGGCGCAGATGTTAATGCAAGAGATGAAAATTCTAAAACTCCTCTTTTTTATGCAATAAAGCAGAATAATCATGAAATGGTGGAATTTCTTATTTCACATGGTGCTGTTATCGATGCAGAGGATAGAGATGCACTTAATGAAGCAGCACAAAATGACAGCGAAGAAACAGCATAAGTTCTTATTTCGCATGGCGCTGATATCAATTCAGAAGATTACAATCATTAAACTTCTCTTGATTTTGCAATACCTATAAATTTTCAAAAATTTATAAAAAAGGCAGAAGTTCTTATTTCACATGAGGCAATTACTAAGTTAAATCCTAAATAGTTAATTTCCGAATATTATATAAAGTAAATATTTTTGAATTCAAAAATAGAAGTTATATATTAATTATTAATCTTCTTTGAGTAATTCAGATTTTAGATATTCTTCATTTTACGAATACATCGTTTTATTCCCCATATTTCATTTTCACTTAAATATAACAGTTGGCAACTTAATTGTTTGTTTTAGTTCCTAAATTAACAAATAAATAAGATATATATGATAAGGGTTCTTTTGCAATGCCAAATTCTGCAATTGTCGGCATTTTCAATCGAAATATGCGGGATCGCAAATTCAAATTTCAGCATTTATATGCTGATTAAGCCGGATATTAGTGAGGGTTGCCTGGGTGAGAAAGGATTTTCAGCCCAAGAATGCTAGCTCAAAGCTTTATTACCGCATAGCGAGGCTCGGACGCCTCTATTAAAAAATGTAAACCTCTCAAAATTGAGAGACCTGCGCATTTTGATTATCAGTTTATTATATTTTTTTGCATATGCAACTGTTGTCATTCTTTTTTGGTGGATTTGATGTTTAACATTGGACACCTCCAGAATTTTGATAATATATAAAACAATAAAAATTACAAATAAAATAATAATTCATGAAATATGACATTTTTTAGAAATTGCATTAACTAAATCCGAGTTTCTATTATATTGATGGACAATAGAAGGTTTATAACCTGATTTTGAATCTGTGAGAACTCCATTATTGTCAATATGCCATATATTTCTCAAATGTTCTTCACGCAAAACTGCAAAAACAGAGGCTAAGTTTGGATCGCAAACAATACGAAGTCCGATTTCTTCTGGGATATGGCTATAGAGAAAGATATTATAAATTGTTTGGTCATTCAATTGTTTTTCACCTATAATATATGATGAAGATAAAACAGAAACTGCTTTGTAAACAGAGTCTTTGTCTCCAAGAATTAATCCTGCACAAATAACATTTTTGTTTTCAAAATATTCTGGTTTCAAGTTGTCAATATTAACAATCCAAATCAAATTAAAGATTTCTTCTTTCATTTTGATTCGTTCATCACTGACATGAGGAAATTTGTCGTCAAATGTAAATGGATCACTTTGGAAATGAGTATCACCCCAGTCAAAATAAAGAACTCGATTGATATCGTTATAGAATAATTCAATAATAGATTTTATTACATAAAAGCGTTGATACATCTTCTCATATTCAATGTTACAAAATAATGTTGTTGGAATCCATGAAATACCACATTCTTCGAATTTAGATGAAATTAGTTTGTCTGAGAACATGAAGATTTTACCTTTGAATCCAACACTTCGCAAACTAATTGCCGAATATGGTTCTGCTGAATTTCCAATGTTTGTCATGATACAAACATCTCGTTCTGTAGATCTAGATATATTAATGTTTTTATCATTTTCAATGTCACAGAATTGGCATTTTGAATATTCAATTTTCTTGTAAAAACTTTCGTTAAGTTTTGTGATTGAGAAATTTAACAATTTGTCGTCAATATTCTTGTATGGAAATAAATTGACATAAATATCATTTGTTGTAATTTTAAGATGAATTTGTAGTTCTTGTTCAACATGAGAAATAATAATAATTAATAGTATAAGCAACTTAATGGTATGATTACTATATATGAATAAGTATATTGATGTTAAAATTAATATATAATTAATGATAAAATTAAGAAGATTTATGAAATTAAAATTATTTTCTGTTAATGTTTGAATTTTCGTTCCTTTGTAGTTGATTTTAACGCGAATAGAGTCTGATGAGTACCAATCAGTGATAATACGAAAAACAACTTTGTGTGTTTCTGCTGAAATTTCTTCAAAAAGATGACCTTCGAACTTGGTTGACTTGGAACGTGTGATATTGTATGTTTTATATGGATTGATAACAAACATCTTGTTCTGTTTATGAAATTTAGGTGTAATCAAAATACTTTTGAAACAAAAACTTTGTGGAATCTCAATTTCGAGAACTTGGGAAAGATAACTGTCATAGTTGTTCTTAACAATCGATGGATACAAATTTGTTATGTACTCTATACTGCTTATATAATAAAAGAAAAAACGAAAACATTTATTAATAAAAGTGACAAAACTATTGTATATGTCAAAAATTAAGTTTACAGCAAAAATGTGGTTAGTTCATCCTAAAGAGCATATGGATATTTCATCATTAGTGAATATGATTGTTAGTGAAGACCGCTGCATTTATATTTAAATTTTGTATTGGGGCAAGCATAATTAGATTGGGAAACCATAGGGGACGGGATATGAGAAGCCCCTATTTTTAGGAATTTTTTACATCACTAACATTAACATTTAATGCAAAATTTTTAATGGAATTAAAATAATTGATATATTTCGAAAATATTTATCTGGATCAAATAATTTTTGAAGTTGATTTTGATATTTTTTTTCTCAAAATTTGATGGAATAAATTTCGACCTATATTACATTGGATAACTATTTTAGTTATTTTATTAGCATGTTATAGTTAAAAAATAATGTTTCAGATACATATGATGTCATCAGAGTAGTATATGATGCGGGTTGTGTGACTTTTTTTGTAATCGTAAGAATTCTCACATAATTGAATGATTTTTGAACATACTTCCGAATAGCAGATTTTAAAAATTTATGAATAATTTATAAAAAGTTTTTATTCCTATAATTCCTATATTACCATTAATAAAAAGAATATATTTTTGACGAAGTGAAGATTCGCACTTCGTCACAAAACTCCGAAAAAATAAAGTTAGATTTTTTTATTTAATATAAAATGTATGGAAAAAGAATAATATCTGATTTTGAACATTATTTGATTGATTTACTAATTGATCCACAAAGCTGTTGTAAAATTAATTTTGAATTTAAAATTAAAGGAACCGTAAATTTTGTATTTATTTATCACTTAAAAGAATATGACCGATATCATAATTTGATATATGAAACTAATATAATATTTGAAGATAACAAACTTACAAGCTTCGAACATAAAAATGATATAATATTCGAAGATGAAAAAAAGAAAGAGATTGAAAAGCAATTCAATGAATGCCTTTTAAATACATATGCGCACATTATAAGACATAAAATGAAATTAATTCCTTATTAATCAAAAATATTTTTTATCTTTATATAAAGATGACAAATAGAAAAATAATTTTTATCTGATAGAAATAATACCTACAAATGACGGTATATAAAAAATTGACTTCTTACGTAAAATTAAAACTAAGTTAAATTTATTTTTTTTATTTTTTATTTTATAATAAATGAGTATAACAACTAATTCATTGAAATCTTTAAAGTTCACTAATTCAGAATTAGAAAATATTTTAGAAAATTTTGGAGACGGTTCTTATCCAACATATATGCAGAATGTGAAAGAGTTTTCCAGATTGTTGAATGAATTTAAATATAACGGACCAATTACTAAAAAGGCTATAATGAGATATTTATATCCCAAAAAAGTTGAAAAACAGGAGAATATTCCTCTTTATGGTCCAGAGGACCTGGGCTCAGAGAGCCTTGAAACACCTCCTGAATATTTTGAAGAAAAAATTAAACAAGATGAATATTATAACGATGAGATTGAGAAATTGGAACAATTAAGAAATGAAATAGATGAAAGAATTAGTGAATTGAGAAATGCTGAGAATGAAGTAGAGGGTTTAATGAATATCCCAGCTTCAGAATCAGAAGTTCAAAAATCACATGAGGAAAGATATAAAAATTACTTTTTGGAATCTACTAAAAATTTATTAGATGGTGATATTGACGAAACACTTTCAGAAGAAGGCACAAAATTTATTCATAAACATAAGCTTCAGTTTATTGACGATGGAGATTATCCATGTATATTACTTTCACCTCCTCTTGATTCTGAAAAATTCAAAAAAGCACTGAAAAATGTAACATATGCAACAAATACGATTAAGAAAGAAGACCATGATATTTACACAAATTATTATTTAAATAAATGTACAGGTGTTGATAAAGTTTTTGATTTGTTAGATAAAATATCAAAAGAAACAATTGGTACATATAAAATTTTATGCGATTGTGGTTTCATTATTGAAGATACCAATAATGTTTCATATGAAAGAACAGCACCGAAGGAAGACGAAGTGGAAAGGTCTATACCATTCGTTATTAAGAACATAAAAGATATGAAAACTTATAAACATTATATTTATTCATTTATTTCAGAAAAAATGGAAGCAACCCATAAAACATCATCTCATCATTTTATAGCTATTCATACATTCCTTTTCAAAGTTGTGAAATTAAATAAGACAGGAATTAGATTTAATGTATCAGGGTACGCATTCTTGAGTAAATTAAAATGTATTCGTCACGTCGCAGATGATAAAAATTTATGTGTTCTTAATTCATTTTATGGACTTTAGCCCTGGACTCTCTGAGTCTCGGACTTTAAAAAAAATAAACTTTATTTTTATTTATTTTTTAATTTTTATTCTTACATAAATGAACAAAAATGGAACAGCTAAAATGAATGATAATCAAATAAGAGCCGAAGGTAGAAGGTTATTTAAACGCTTCTATAACATTCCTGATGGTGTTAATCCTAAAACTCGTAGAAGTTATTTAAATGAAGCCATAGATGCATATGAAGGATTTGACATTTCATCAGAAAGTGAGAGGTTAGCAAGAATGTTAAACGTTAATATTGATTTTTATTATTGTGACCCTCAACCAGAAGACGTAGACATTAACAAGGTAGACTTTCCATTAGTGGAATCAATAATGATAGATCCAGAATTTGAAACAGTAAATATTTTATTAACACAGAGTCCATGTGGAAAACTTCACGCTGACAGAATTACAGACGTTGAAGCACTCACAGGATATAAAGTTTGCCCCTTTTGCAAAGAAGAAGTATATTCTATCCGTGATGATCCAGAAAGGAAAAACCAAAGAAGATTTTTAAAACATTGTGAGAAATGTAAAGAAAATAATGGAAGATTAATTCAAGACGTTCAATTGCAAAACACACAACAACCATATGCACCACATATCACGAAACAGAAGATATATCAATGGCTATTAGCACATAATTTGCAGGAATATTATAAACCAACAAGATATTATATTACTTTTGACTTCGAAACATTAGAGACTAAAGAAGAACTTCAACTTTCTGAATGTGCAACTTTGAACGCTTACTTAAAACCATTTATGGTATCATCAACTGTCAAAATAAAGCCGCAAAGCGGCGAGGTCGTAGACCGTGATAAAACATTTACGAGGAATTTTTGCTTAACATCAAGTGATTCGTTCATCTCTGATTGGATTGAATTTTTATTTTCAACCTGTTCATTAGTTGCTAAATCAAATATTGAACAATATGAAGAATTAATGAATACATTAAATGAGAAACAAAAGGAAGCAATGAAAGAGCTTTTAGATGAAGAATTTAATAAAGTGAATATCATTGGTTTTAATTCGGGAAAGTTTGATTTAAATTTAATTCTTCGTGATTTAAATACTGCAAAATGGAAGATAAAATCAATGCTGGGTTCTTCTTCTCAATTTAAGCAAGTCATAGTAAAGAAAACAAACTGTCCATATGAATTAAGATTTATTGACATCAGAAATTATATAGCGGGTGGAACATTAGACCAATTCACTCAAGATTTCGGAAACAATAAATCACGTGTTAAATCCTTTTTCCCTTATCAATTCATCACATGGGAGAATTACGAAGATGAATTATATAAAAAGGAACCATTCACTCAAGATTCATTTTATTCAGCATTAACACAAGAAACAATATCCGATTCAGATTATCAAATATATCTCAATGATGCTAAAAATTTAGAATAGATTAGAATATTTTATTCATTATTGCAATAAAGACGTTGAAATTATGATTGACCCAATTGATAAAATTATCGAAGAAACATTTGTTTATAAAATTGACATGCTTCATAATCTTTCTTTATCATCGAATGCATCAATGATTCGTTACGCGTTAGCATATAAGAACTTCAATCCTAACGAAACATATCCAGAAGAAGAAAATGTGGAATCAAGTTTTGAATTAACGAAAAAGTATTGGAAATATAAAATTGAATCATATAAGAAACAAGATGAAAAGGCGAAAAGAGATACCAAAAATAATGTTTCAATGGATGATTCAATACTATCACGATTTAATCCTTTCATCTAAATGCAAAATGTGTGGTAAAGCGTTTACATATGCAAATAAACCAACATTGGATAGAATCGATAATGAAAAACCACATACCAAAGAAAATTGTCAGTTAATGTGTTGTTATTGCAATGTCGTAAAATCAAATAAAGATGAAGATGTTCAACGTTTAAGAATCAATTTAAGAAATTATGCATTAAAAAATAATTTACCAATGACTTTAGATTCAGTTGAAGCTTATCACATTCTCCGTAATGGAATTACTGGTGGTCTATCAAATGTTCAACATCGTGTTAATCTTAAAGGAATCACGCACATTAATAAACTTTCATATAATCCAGAAACTAAAACTGTATCAAATGAGGACACCACCAACATTATGACTCATTTCGTTGGAGTTGACTTTAATTCATTATATCCTTCATCATTTTCATCTAATCCTCATGATTTCATTCAATATACTGACCATAAAATGTATATGCCGGGAAGATTGAATGGTGTTATCATTTGTGATACAGCAACAAAGAAAGCAAAAGCACTGGGAATAATTAAGAAGAAAAATACTTTATTCGTGGCTGAAGTAAAGGGTCACATTGATGAAAAATACATTAATGATTACATAAACTTTTTACCGATAATAAGAAACTTAGATATTATCACAGATGAAAAAACAATTGGCAGTTTTATGTATAATTACATGAAATCAAACAATCTACCAGTTGACCAGAAACAGAGGAAATTAACTCAGTTAGCATCAACACACAACCAATATCAACCATTTTCTTCTTATTATCTTTGGTATCTAATAGACAGATTTCATTTTATCATTGATGATATTCAATCAATTTTAACATTTACGAAAAACACTTGTTTTAATGAATTTGCGAACAAATTTATGAATGAAAGACAAAAGGCGGAATTAGAAGGAAATAAAGGAAAAAGTTTATTTTGCAAGATTTCGCTTAATGGATCATATGGTTACGATGCAATGAATACACAAAATTACGCAAAGACTAAAATAACGAATGCACAGAGGGCACGCGTTGCACGTATGTCAAATAAGTTTAAAAACATAAGAGAAATAGGTGAAGATACATATCAAGTGATGCTTAAAGATAGATTTTATAGATGTGATACATGTTTACAAGAGGCATTCTTCACTTTAGATAACGCAAAATACTGGTATTTGGTTTTCATTTATGATTTTATGTATAAATGCATGGATGTTAATCGTTTTCATTTCATTGAAGGTGATACTGATTCATCTTATTGGGCAATCGCTGGCGACCCAAATCTTCCTAACACTCAAGCATTTCAAGCAATTGTTACCGATAAACAATTTTATGATAAAAACATTTTCAAATTCGCACCATTTGATTTCTTCTGTTTTGATGAGAAATTTAAACCTAAATTAAAGAATAAAGCTGAAGAAAAAGCACATGAGAAGAAGTTATTGGGTTTAGCAATTGAGAAACAAGGTGATAACATGGTGGCGTTATGTCCTAAATGTTATACATCATTCAACGGTTCAATTGATGGAAGTGATTTTAAAAAGATTGCACAAAAAATGAAAGGTGTTAGTTTAAGACAAAATAAGCAATTAACACCTAAAAATATTTGGATATAATAAATGATAAAGATGAACCCAGCATTGATTTTATCTTCCATTTTGCAGTATTTAAATCACGAAGAATTAAATTTAAATCAAACTTTCCCGAATTAAAACCAATGATATTCACTTTATTAAATTCTTCATCTAAAAGCTCTTTCATTGCTTCCTTTTGTTTCTCATTTAATGTATTCATTAATTCTTCATATTGTTCAATATTTGATTTAGCAACTAATGAACAGGTTGAAAATAAAAATTCAATCCAATCAGAGATGAACGAATCACTTGATGTTAAGCAAAAATTCCTCGTAAATGTTTTATCACGGTCTACGACCTCGCCGCTTTGCGGCTTTATTTTGACAGTTGATGATACCATAAATGGTTTTAAGTAAGCGTTCAAAGTTGCACATTCAGAAAGTTGAAGTTCTTCTTTAGTCTCTAATGTTTCGAAGTCAAAAGTAATATAATATCTTGTTGGTTTATAATATTCCTGCAAATTATGTGCTAATAGCCACTGATATATCTTCTGTTTCGTGATATGTGGTGCATATGGTTGTTGTGTGTTTTGCAATTGAACGTCTTGAATTAATCTTCCATTATTTTCTTTACATTTCTCACAATGTTTTAAAAATCTTCTTTGGTTTTTCCTTTCTGGATCATCACGGATAGAATATACTTCTTCTTTGCAAAAGGGGCAAACTTTATATCCTGTGAGTGCTTCAACGTCTGTAATTCTGTCAGCGTGAAGTTTTCCACATGGACTCTGTGTTAATAAAATATTTACTGTTTCAAATTCTGGATCTATCATTATTGATTCCACTAATGGAAAGTCTACCTTGTTAATGTCTACGTCTTCTGGTTGAGGGTCACAATAATAAAAATCAATATTAACGTTTAACATTCTTGCTAACCTCTCACTTTCTGATGAAATGTCAAATCCTTCATATGCATCTATGGCTTCATTTAAATAACTTCTACGAGTTTTAGGATTAACACCATCAGGAATGTTATAGAAGCGTTTAAATAACCTTCTACCTTCGGCTCTTATTTGATTATCATTCATTTTAGCTGTTCCATTTTTGTTCATTTATGTAAGAATAAAAATTAAAAAATAAATAAAAATAAAGTTTATTTTTTTAAAGTCCGAGACTCAGAGAGTCCAGGGCTAAAGTCCATAAAATGAATTAAGAACACATAAATTTTTATCATCTGCGACGTGACGAATACATTTTAATTTACTCAAGAATGCGTACCCTGATACATTAAATCTAATTCCTGTCTTATTTAATTTCACAACTTTGAAAAGGAATGTATGAATAGCTATAAAATGATGAGATGATGTTTTATGGTTGCTTCCATTTTTTCTGAAATAAATGAATAAATATAATGTTTATAAGTTTTCATATCTTTTATGTTCTTAATAACGAATGGTATAGACCTTTCCACTTCGTCTTCCTTCGGTGCTGTTCTTTCATATGAAACATTATTGGTATCTTCAATAATGAAACCACAATCGCATAAAATTTTATATGTACCAATTGTTTCTTTTGATATTTTATCTAACAAATCAAAAACTTTATCAACACCTGTACATTTATTTAAATAATAATTTGTGTAAATATCATGGTCTTCTTTCTTAATCGTATTTGTTGCATATGTTACATTTTTCAGTGCTTTTTTGAATTTTTCAGAATCAAGAGGAGGTGAAAGTAATATACATGGATAATCTCCATCGTCAATAAACTGAAGCTTATGTTTATGAATAAATTTTGTGCCTTCTTCTGAAAGTGTTTCGTCAATATCACCATCTAATAAATTTTTAGTAGATTCCAAAAAGTAATTTTTATATCTTTCCTCATGTGATTTTTGAACTTCTGATTCTGAAGCTGGGATATTCATTAAACCCTCTACTTCATTCTCAGCATTTCTCAATTCACTAATTCTTTCATCTATTTCATTTCTTAATTGTTCCAATTTCTCAATCTCATCGTTATAATATTCATCTTGTTTAATTTTTTCTTCAAAATATTCAGGAGGTGTTTCAAGGCTCTCTGAGCCCAGGTCCTCTGGACCATAAAGAGGAATATTCTCCTGTTTTTCAACTTTTTTGGGATATAAATATCTCATTATAGCCTTTTTAGTAATTGGTCCGTTATATTTAAATTCATTCAACAATCTGGAAAACTCTTTCACATTCTGCATATATGTTGGATAAGAACCGTCTCCAAAATTTTCTAAAATATTTTCTAATTCTGAATTAGTGAACTTTAAAGATTTCAATGAATTAGTTGTTATACTCATTTATTATAAAATAAAAATAAAAAAAATAAATTTAACTTAGTTTTAATTTTACGTAAGAAGTCAATTTTTTATATACCGTCATTTGTAGGTATTATTTCTATCAGATAAAAATTATTTTTCTATTTGTCATCTTTATATAAAGATAAAAAATATTTTTGATTAATAAGGAATTAATTTCATTTTATGTCTTATAATGTGCGCATATGTATTTAAAAGGCATTCATTGAATTGCTTTTCAATCTCTTTCTTTTTTTCATCTTCGAATATTATATCATTTTCATGTTCGAAGCTTGTAAGTTTGTTATCTTCAAATATTATATTAGTTTCATATATCAAATTATGATATCGGTCATATTCTTTTAAGTGATAAATAAATACAAAATTTACGGTTCCTTTAATTTTAAATTCAAAATTAATTTTACAACAGCTTTGTGGATCAATTAGTAAATCAATCAAATAATGTTCAAAATCAGATATTATTCTTTTTCCATACATTTTATATTAAATAAAAAAATCTAACTTTATTTTTTCGGAGTTTTGTGACGAAGTGCGAATCTTCACTTCGTCAAAAATATATTCTTTTTATTAATGGTAATATAGGAATTATAGGAATAAAAACTTTTTATAAATTATTCATAAATTTTTAAAATCTGCTATTCGGAAGTATGTTCAAAAATCATTCAATTATGTGAGAATTCTTACGATTACAAAAAAAGTCACACAACCCGCATCATATACTACTCATCAGAAATAGAGAACCAAAAGCTAAGCGAAACTTTCATAATATAATGAAGAGGAAAATACATTAAGATGCTTAATTATATTTTAATAAAATCAAGTTTTTAATGAATTAACAAGATTTCGACTGAATAAGGAAAGTGAGTGTCCAATGTGAATAATTGTAGGATCATTTGCTTCATAATTATTATCACAAAGAGAATGAAATTTGTTTTCATGTGTTATTTTTCGATTAATTTTATTTCTGAGCCTTCTCTGATAATTTGTTTCTCTCTCCCTAATAACGGGAACACCACAAAATGTATCTAAAATATATGTGTCTGGAACGTGAACTTTTAATTGATAAAAATAAATAAAATAGCTAAAATATGTATCAATGGTTTCATCTGTTTTCTCAGATCCTGTGTAATACACTTCAAAATTAATTCCTTCTAACTTTTGATCAAGAAAAGGTACATTCACTAAAGGTGACCAAACTATTTTTTGAAAGTCCGCCATAACTTTAATGGTACTATTTCAGCGTGTACAATGAATACAAAAATTCTAAGAGTGCCACATAAAATAGTACTTTAGACTTGAGTTAATGCTACCAAGCAAATGTTAAAAAGATGACTTTAGTGTTTTGATAATCAAAGATTAAAATCATTATTGTCTAAATCAATAATCATAACGACAGAAGTTAATTTTTTTTCATCAGTGCTTTAAATCCACTTTTAAAAGTATACCTCAAAAATCAAAATATCAAAAAAATTGGCCGATAGGTTTGGCTTTAATTTTTGTCTGTTTTTATGATTTGATATGGATGTTATAATTTTAAAAGTTGAGCCAAATTCACCAATAGATTTTTGAGATTTGCAAATACTCAATAATTTTCAGCGTGTTATCTTTTATTAAAAGAACTATTTGGTTTCAGTATCATATAAATTGATATTTACTTTCTATTTGAACCTTCATTTAGCTAATGATTTAATAATACAGATTTCATCTAGTCCTTATAAGAGAATTTTGAATTTGTTATAATAAAAAAACAAACAGATATAGCTTACACTTCTATAATAAAGATACCTTTTATAGAAATCAGTATGAAATGTGTTTTGGCTTATTGGAAGCATATCAGACATAATCGCCATAATCAAAAAATCTATATACCCAATAAGTAATAAATTTGTCGATATAGATTTTCCATAAAATTAGTTTTTAGTCTGATCTTAAAATAAATTTAATTTTTTATAAAAAAATCAGATTTAAAAGTACTTTTTTAGTAGCTCGAAATCCTGTTGGTGGATTTCGGGCGTACTAGTCATGTGATTTTATCCCAAGCATATGGGGATTCTAAATTTTTGTCCCTATCGTTATCCCAATTGAATTTTTTTTGGAATTTAAAATTTTTTTTTCTCCATGTAAACTTAAATTTTAATTTTTACCACTAAAATGCAATATTTCAACAAATTAATGAGTAATAATATTTTAATTTATAATAAATATTATAAATCTCCTCAATTTAATGTAATTATTGTATTAATTTTTGTTGAAAATATAAAATCTTCAAGTAAATGATGTGAATTTAATATTTTTAGAATGTTGTTTAATTGTACTATATTATGCATGTAAAATTTTGTTACAATACATTTTATATGGGATCCCCATTGCCCAATTGAGAGAAAATTGAGAGGTGGGATTGGAGAGAGGGTCAAAGTTGCTATTTGTCACTTTTCCACAAGAATATAATGGGGAAAAAGTTATCATATAGTTGATCTCATTCACTGAGGTGAGAGATGCATGTAGTGTAATGTGATAAACAGTGGGATTGCTGCTCTAAGTCCTAGGTTCGAGACACATTGGTTTCATTTTTCTCTTTTTTATTGACGTAAACTATTCAATTTTTGTGTTCTCCATTCAAATTTCAGAATTTTTTTTGCAGATTTCACGCTACATTCGAAGTTACCTTTTGTAACAACCACCACTGCCTACGAAAGACGAAAGTGTGTCACGATTTCACCCGGAAATCCGACGGTTGTTTAAGAGTATGCACTTTTGTCACCTACTCGGTGGGATTGGGCTAGCCCAATTCAAAATATCCCAGGTGGAAATAAAAAAATTAACAATTCAACATAAAAAAGCATCTTAAATAATAATGATAAAAAGAAATTTTGTATGAATTTCAATCAAATTTGTTTTTATTCAACTTAAGAAATCACTTCATTAATGAAAGAAGTCGGGTTCACAACATATCCCGATCTTGAAACGAAACAACATGTTTTTTTGATGCCCTAAACGGGGGGTCGCCAGCAAAAAAAAAGATGTCAAAATTTATCCCAAAAATTTAAAAAAAATCGAAGAAAGTGCATCCCAGGGATTATAAAATTTAAGTTTTCACATCTCTAGGCGTACTTCAAAATTAGCTTTTCTTCTACATATGCAAGCTATATTTTAAATATGGGGCAAATCGGATCGGCGAAAGGAGTTTAGTTACCTTTTAAGTCTTTGTTCCTCATCTGAGGTACTTGATGAGGTATTGTACCTCAGATGAGGAACAAACTCAACAATCAACATCTGATTGTCAACAAAAGACATGAAAGATTGTTTGTAACAATCTTTTAAGTCTTTGTTCCTCATCTGAGGTACAATACCTTATCAAGTACCTCAGATGAGGGACAAAGACTTCAATCAACATCTGATTGATGAAGAAACACTTTATAAACTATATCAAGCAGCCATTAAAGTCTTTCTTCCTCATCTGGATTACAATATCTCCAAAAGTACACCAGATGAGGAACAAAAACTTCAATAAAATTGTAATTTGAAAATCTCTTGCATATGCTAGTTTATTTCACACATATATTATATTACCACACCATATATATCATTACTCACCCATATAAATAATCATTAACTCATATTTTGATTCTCATATTTTGTGAATCTAACAAATCTCTCAGATTTCAAATACATCAGTCTATTAACATAGAATACAAACTAAATTTTCATGTCCCAAACTCTCTCATCCCGAATAATGAATTTTGTTTGAAATCTTTCTTATGCAATTTCGCATCAAATCTAACTTTATGGTCTGAGACGATAGACATCTTTTAATAATTTTTCTCGAATTTTCGGCGCTAGTTTCAGGTCGAAATTTGAAGTTTTGTCCGATCAAACTGAAAAAAAAGCTCACTTTTGGCGATGTAGGCAGGACGATAGGATTTTTTTGGATACATCTCTCAAAATAGATTTTTTCAAGGCTGGGAATTTGGAAAAATGTATCTGTTAATTTGGTAAAATGTTGTATTCCATGAAATTCAATAACTTTAAGATGGCTACAATTTGGAAAACAATATTCAGAAAAATGAGATTCACTTGGAAACCTAATTGATGAAATGCTTATATTGTTGAAACAGTTTGTAGAAAAAGAAAGTTGTGAATTTTTAAAATTTATACTAATAAGGTTATTACAATTGCAAAAAGCATCCGTGGAAATGTATCCATCCTTAGCATTAATTACAACAGTTTTTAAATTTGGACAGTTAAGCATAGCACTATTTGAGACACCTATTTTTAGGCATGTAATATTTATTACTTCAATTTTGGAATTAGTTAAAGAATCAAAACCTAAAGTGAAATTAAGAGTGCTATTATTTATAACTAAACTAGTTATTTTACAATTATAAAAAGCATTTGAATTTATATCTTGTAATGTGGATGAAAAAATATTTGTTACTAATGATGAACAGTCATAAAATGCATTATATTCAATGGTAATAAGTGATTCGGGGAACTTAAATGATGATAACGAATGGCATTTATAAAAGGCATAATATTTAATTGTTTCCAAAGAATTGGTATTATCTATAGATATAATTGATGCACATTCATAAAACGCAAAAGACCCAATATAACTTATATTGTTTGATAATTGAATATTTCCTGTTAATAAAGAACAGCGGGAAAACGCACAATCACCTATGTAATTTATTTTTGGTAGCTGTGAGATATTTCCTATTAATGATTTGCATCCTTCAAATGCATTATTTCCAATATATTCAATATTTTCAAGATTATGAATAGATGTGAGATTCTCACAACCATAAAAACAATATTTTTCAATTGATTTAATGTTATATGGAATAGTAATTTCAATAATGCTCGAATAGCTAAATAAATATGAAGGTAATTTTGTTAAAGAAGAGCCTATTGTGAAACTCTTTATCTTACATCCTATAAACGCTTGATCTCCTACAGATATAACATCATCTGTTAATTCTAAATTTGTTATTTTGGAGTCTTGGAAAGCATAGTCACCAATAAATTTTGCAGCAATTACAGATTCGTAAAAAGATGATGAATGAAATGCATGATGCAATATATCTATAGTTGAGGATATATTAATATCTATTAGGGCACTGCACAAATAAAATGCATAATTAGATATTTTCAGAGCAGAATTATTAATAACATTCTTTAAGTTCTTGCATCCGTAAAAACAAAATGAAGGAATTGTTTTGATTTTTTCATTCAGATTAATTGTTTCAATATTTGAATATGCAAATGATCCTTCACCTATTTCATCAATATTTTCATCTAATGTCAACGAATATAATGATTTATTGTTGTAGTATTGAAATGGGAGAATTCTATTCCCTGGATTCTCGGGCAATTTAATTGTAACCGTGTGATCGTATGATGTTGGAAATAGAAATTCTGAATGAAAATCTTTTGATTTGAATTCAAAATATTTCAACTTCCAGCAACCATTAAATGCGTTTTCATAAATAAATTTAATTGATTCATTTAAAACAACAGTTTCAAGATTATAACAATAGGCAAATGCATGTTTCCCGATTTTTATAATATTATCAGGAAATGGAATGGATAGATTTTTTGTGGTGATGAAATGAATTTCATTTATTTCTTTCAACTCATCAAATCCTTTTAAAAAGTTATCTGGAATTTGAGAGTTCATATTTGCTTGAATGTTTGAGATATTTGATTTATATTTACAAAATGAAATATTAGTTTTTACTAATGAAGGTGTGTTTACGTCTAAATAATCTATTTCTCCAGTAAAAGAAAGAGAATTAATAGTAACAGAAGATGATGCATTGATTTTAAGGAATTTGAAATTTGAATAAAATGAAGTTGAAATAACTAAATTTTTACAAACTATTGTGAAATCATTCAGAGCTTGATATATTTTGAAATCTGTGTAAACTTGGAGAATATCTGAAGTTGTGATAAAATTCAGTGTTGTCAAATTATTACAATCATTAAATTCATTATTCATTAGTCTCTGAATAGAACCTATAATTGTAAGTGAAATAGAATCACAATAGTCAAATGTATTTTTGGGTAATTCATCAATACCATCTTGAAGAATAAGATTTTGAAAAGATGAATATGAAAATGAATACTTTTCAAGACTTGTTGTTTGACTTTCAATTGTTAGATTTTTAATTGTTGAGTGCGAAAATGCACCATAACTAATTATTTTTACTGTTGATGGGATAATTAAAGACGTAATATTTGAATAAATGAATGTTTTGTGTCCTATTGATTCAATGAAGGATGGAATGATAAGCGGTTCATCAAGGTAATAGAAAAATGGATAATCAATACTTATCTCTGAAAAATTTGATTGAAACTTCGGTTTGTCTGTATAAACAAACTCATTAAATGCATAAGATCCAATGTATTCTAAGCTATCAGGAAATGAAACATATGTAATATTTGTTCCAAGGAAAGAAAGCGGACCTATATATGTTAATTTATTAGGTAGTGAGATATTTGATAAACTGCTGCATCCATAAAAGCTTACACCAATAATACTATCGAGATTCTCGTTAAATTCAATTTTTTGCAAATTAATACAATATGCAAATGTATAAAATCCAATATATTTAAGATTTTTTGGCAGATGAATATATTGAATTTGATCGCAAAATGAAAAAGAACCTTCTTGAATAATTTCAAGTGATTCAGGGAAATAAATTTCTTGAAGATTTTTACAACATGAGAATGCATAATCAGATATATTCGTTATTTGTGAGCATATAGTAACTGAAATTAAATTTGTGCAATTACAAAAGCAAAATGCTGGTATTTTGTTGACATTTGTCGAAATATTAACACTAATTAAACTTGTATTTCCTGAAAAATCTGGAAGTAATTTATCTCCAGTAATTAAGTAAACACCTACCGAAGTTTGTTCAATATTCAAATCGAAATGCCAAATAATTCATAGAAATAATTCATATAACAAATTCTAAAATATCATAAGAAAAATTCATCTTAGATTTGAATTTATGAAAACAAAAGTGAATGTTACAAAAATAGTACGATAAATCATCAATATTTGAATTAATAGAACTATATAAGGAATAATTTGGTCGCTTTTGCAAAATAAAAGTGTCACTTTTTACATTGAAATTAAAATTTATTGAAATTGAAGTTAATTTTATATATAAATTAAAGTTTATTTTAGAGAACCGAAATTAGTAATAATTAGGTCAGGTATATGGGGCTTCCAGGGGCTGCGCCCCTTCTAGCCCTAAGAATTTTGCCCAAGACCCAAGAGGAGGACCGAACCCCAGCCGACCAGCCGGTGATAAAAACCAAAACCGTTTTTAAAAAGTGACAGACAACTCCGTTTTTTAAAAGTGACAAAACCGTTTTTCACTATATAAGAGATATGCAAACAAAAAAGTGACAGCCGCATGTTTTAAACTACAAAAACCGCTTTTTAACTTCACTTAAAATGCCACGTAAGCTACGTAAGAATATACGTAAGAGGAAGAGAGCATTGAAACATCCAATAGTAAAACTGACACCACAACAACAGTTGCAACAACAAATGATGAATGACCCCACTATGTTGCAACAAATGTCAAGCAACCCTATGCTTTTAAACCGAGTTTTTGGTGCACAGAGTGGAGGTTTAAGAGCGGCACTTTTAGCGAAAATGGCAGGCTATGGTGGAGCTGCAGACGGAACAGCCTATAACCCTCAAAGTCAAATGAATTTGAGTTCACTCAAAAATCAAATAACAGATGTCAAAAAGTCAAACATAGACATACAGAAACAAATAAGTGAAAACGAAAAGAAACTAGAATATGACAGACACACAAAGAAACTCAATGAGTTAAACGTAGAGAAAAAGAAGAAAGAAGAACAACTGAAAGAACTAAGTACAGAGGAATATGCGAAAAAAGTGTCAGAAAAAGCAGCAGAAGTAGCAAAAATGGAACAAGATGTTATAAATTTGAAAAACCATACTACTCAATATAAAGTACTGAAAGATGAAGAAATAAAACAAAAAGCCCTGAAGACATATATGGATAGCGATGAGTATAAAAAAGAAGTTGAAGCAAATGTAAAGGCAGAAAAACTTTTACAGTTGCAAAACCAAACCGTACAGTATGAAAACTTAGCACAAGAAAGTAAAAATAACGACGCAGCCATGCAAAAGGCAATGAAAAGCGCAGAATATATAAAAGCTAATAATGACTGGTTAGATGCCCAAGCCAACGCTAAAGCAGCCCAACTTATAGGGTCAATAAGGACAAAAATACAAGCGGATGAAGACAGTTCAAATGAAGCTTTAATGAATGCTGACTTTAAGAATGCCTTCGAAGCTCTTCATAGTAAGGTGAAACTAGTGAACGACTTCTCATCTGGAAAGAAACTGAAGTCTGAAGGTTTCGACAAAGAGTTAAGAGAAGTAGCACAAAATATGACGAAAATAACAGATGCAGCAACGAGACAGGCAGTTCAAAGTGCCTATGACGCCGTTAGAGCAACTGTTGTGGAAAGTCAAGAAAAAGAGTTACAACAGACCAAAACAGACCTAGTAAATGCTTTCTTAAAAACGAAAAGTCAGGTAGGACATTATGCTGCAGATGGAACATATGTGCCAGCTGGTGGAACTTATATACCACCAAACCCTCCAAGAGAAGCACCTGCACCCGGACTACCTAAAACATTTACATCGTCACATGGACACAGACACAGGCATGCACCAAAACCAACACAACAACCAACAGTTCAAAACCCTGCACAACAACAACCACAACCAGCACAACAACCACCTCCACAACCAGCACAGCAACCATCTCCACAACCAGCACAGCAACCAACAGTTCAAAACCCTGCACAACAACAACCACAACCAGAGCAAGGACATAAAAGAAGTAGAGAACAAGGAAACCAAGAATTCTTAAAAATGCTTAAGGAAGATTATGGTTACCCAGATACTCTTGACTTTAGTGACAGATATAAAGAAGCTATTAGAAAGTTCAAGGAAGGAAATACTGACCCGAACCTATTTAGCTTTATGGTTCAGCACCAAATGGGATATAATTTCAAACCTGGAAAATACAAGCTCGCTAAGGGATATGATTTAATAGCATATCATCCAAATGACATGAATGAATTTACTCCGAGATATTTGGTGTCAAGCTAAATGATAATTCAACTCTCTTCATGAACGCGTAAAAAATGAGACGGAACGAAAGAAGAAAGGTTATGAATGCGGATGACTTAGATAGGGAACTTTTTAAAAACGGTCTCGGAATATATGAAATGCCAGCAGATGAGGTACAAGAAACTCAACAGGAAAAGTTCAGATACAACCAGACATGGAAGAAATAGTTCAGCAACAACAGCTAGAAGAGCCTGAAGGAAACGAACAAGTCCCTCCTTTGGAAACTAACTTCACAGAACTAGATGAAAGATTTGGAACAGCCGAAAAATCTTGACCCTCAACAAGTGTATGAGGTGAATATGGAATCTTTCCAAGAGTCTAAGAAAAATTCGGCTGACATAGTAGAAGAATATCGAAAAAATGTTCGCCGACATACAAAAGACTCCAACATCAGATGAAAATATTCAGCATAGAATGGAAGTACTGAAAGAAAATGTACGCAAATACAATAATCCTTTTACTTACGACCATATAAGTTCAATCTTTGGCTGAACTCGGTGAAAATAAAAGGTTAAATTTCAACAAAACATATAGAAATGAAACATTGTTTAAAGTTCATTCAGAACCTAACCAATATGGAAACAAACCTACTTTTGTTTCTGCAGACTATGGAACTACAATGAGATGGGGTCATAAAAGCTAATCCGGATAGGTGGTTCATAAACTTACAACCACAATTCCAAGAAGTTGTAGACGCAATGGAAGTGAATGGTGAACCAGATATAGCTGGTATTTTCAGCGCGGCTTTAATTGCCATTGAAAGATATGAAACATGCAGATATTTTGGACCAGTATGAAATGAACATGGCTGATGGAAATATAACACCTGACGTTCTAGAACATTTATCTCAAAGAACTAACAGAACCATAGAGATGGTATATTTGGTGAAGAGTTTAGAAAGAAAGTAGAGGAGAGAAGGAAAGAAACCTATTGTACATGACCTTGCAAACGAAAGTTTGCAAAATGTCATAAAAACTTACTTTGCAGACAATGAACCGAGAATGGATGAATATTTAAGAAAACTCAAATGGACAGTACCAAATGAAATGTTAGTATTGAAAAACACGTTCCTTGACAAAATAAAAACCAACTACAGAAATAAATGACGCAAGACTGAACATTGGGTAAAAGCTTTCCCATTCACAAAAGATATTATTGGAACATGGAAAGAAAACCAGAATGGCTACAAAAACATATATTTGGAAACGAGCTTATTCCATATGGACAAGCTCTGTTTGAAGAGCTTGAACCGGAAACTCAGGAAGAGTCATGCAAACAATACGCGAAGACTCAAATACAAACTATGACAAAATCTTTCTAGGATATAGGTTACCTGAGATGGGCGACCAGAGCCCAAAGGCAAAAAGGACATGGGAAATTTACAACATACTAGTGAACATGAGGCAAAGATGCAACAAGTTGAAGCAGAGGGCAAGTTACCAAAAGCGACACCAAAGAAGAAGAGTAGAACAAGTGAAAGTAGTGAAGAAGTAACTTCATCTAGTGAAAGTAGTGGCAATGAAGGAAAAAGAAGAGTTAAAAACTCAGTCAGGAAGAAAGTATAAAGCTTGGTCCGAAACAATTATGACACATAAATCCAACTATTCTATATTTTACCCATATGAAATGTACGCCGCTCAGAATATAACGCCAACAGTTTTGGATGCCATGAACGGAAATGTTTCCGAATGGTATAACGAATGCGACAATGCCATTAGAAGGTCAGAAATAGTTCCTGGAACTTACGAATATACAACTGCTGTTTCTTATGGAAACGTAGGTGAGTTTGGAGAAGGCTCTTCAACAACAGTAGATATTGCTTGCGACAGGTTTCATATTATTTCTATTGACAACTCATTCTTATACGTGGAAACAAGACATTGAAATAAACCTTCTGCCAAGTTGTCTGACAAGAAAGGTTGCAATGGAATTTTCTATGTCGGATACCAATATGCTCCAGAAGTTTTCATGGATAAGATATATTCTAACTCTGACTTAGTTCAAACAGTAACATGGGCAAACTATGAATGGTTTCGCTTTGAGAAACTCAGTACAACCACAAGCTAGAGAACAAACAGACCAGTATGCAACTATTGAGAAAATAAGAAGACTTGACCCTAACGTCCAGGAGTTTATGTTAACCTTTCTGGTTCAGATGGAACTGCTGCCATAAAGTAAAACTGAAACTTAGAGTTCCTTTGTCATCTTTCCTCATCTTCAGGTTTTTAAGATACTTACCAAACTGGGCAGGAAAAAATTTCTATCGAACTTACTCCAAGCAAAAACAACTTAGTCATTGCACCAACACAGACCCATTCACTCTTACAGACGTAAAGGGAACAAATAAAACGTCATTCGCCGAATTTTGCAAAGCAAGTTGACTTAGACTTTGGTTTCTCAAACCTCAACACTGAAGTAAACTATTATTTCAATGCTGCTGGAGATGCTTGGGACCCAGTTAAGTTCACATGCGAAAAATTTGAATGCAAGAGAATAGAAAGCAGACTTGCAGTCTATATGTTGGACCCAGATATTTCAAATGCTTTAGCTGCCAAATATATTGCAGTTCCACTTATGTTCCCTATACACCAAATATCTGTCAAAGACTTTGCAGGTGAAGTTGGAAACCAAAGTGCTGACCCAGGTGCAAGAACAGATATTGCTTTAACAACTGCAATGAAACATGCAGATACTATGTTTGTACTGTTCAGACGAACTATAAATGACTATTCTTGTTTCTACAACCCCGGTATTAAATATCATATAAAACATAGATGGCAAATATTATCCAAGAGAAGAATATTCTACAGTTGAGGATATGAGGTCATACAACTTGACATTAGATGCTATGAACTTTAACAACAACTTCACAACAACCATTAACCCTGAAATGCAAAGTTCTATTATGCCATATGTGAAAGTAGACTCATACAGGAGGTCAAAAAACTCAATATACAAATGGAGACCGTTCAAATTTTGGCTTGGCATTCCATTTGCTGACTCAGAAGACTTTATGGGGGTATTTCAACTGTTGGTACTGTACAAATACAATATACTGGTGACAGAGACGGTCCAGATGAATTGAAAGCAAAGAAGTTTACAAAACCAATAGCACTTTTCACGGAAGATGCTCTTTTGAAGATTCGTTTCGATGAAACCTGCTGGGGCTCCTCAGATTGGCATAACGACAGCTTCCATCGAGCAGATTTTGGCAGCAGGTCAGTAAGTTGTTCTTGAACTGACTTCTCTCCGTCAAATATTGACAGTACGCCAGTTTTGACATAATATTGTATTATAAACTTTCCTTAGTAATATCTGTAAGTTTTGAAGTTATATTTTTGTCTGCTTCAAGAACTTTCACCATTTCAGTTATACCAACTTTCTTTGCTTTATGAAAATATTTTGGTTCAGCAAAGACTGCTATTCTATAACATTTTCCATTGTTTGTGTAAAGAACTATTCTGTCAATGTATTTGTATTGTTTGTGAGTATAAACTTTGTTTTGCTTCAATTCAAAGAGATATCCGAATACGTCCATCTTTTTATTCTAAGTAAAATGTCATTTCCGAAAAATAGAAGCGTAAGTGTTTCAAAAGGTTTAATGGCGGTGGCAGATGTGAAGTTAAATTCACCAACTCAAACAAACAATCAAAGTGTTATTGTCAATGTCAAAGACAGAGATGTTGAAGGGGAAACCATACGAAGACGAAGATGGTATAACAATTGTTCCTGTAAAAGAACACAACATATCCTGAAGTTAGCAGAGACTTAAGTTCTGTTGCAGATATTCGAAACGACTACCAACAACTGAAAGACAAACTTCAAACTCAGGAGAAGATTTGTCAAGCTTTAAGTATAATGTTAAACTTGTCGAACACAACCCTGTAAAAGTGAACTCATATGTCATCGCACCTCATGAAGTTTTGAAAGAACTATTGAAACTTTTGACAGAGGCAGACGATATAAACATCAAAGAAATAGAACCCGACATTAGTTGCTGTGGTGTTTCATATAATGCCATTGACAAGATATACGTTATGAAAGGAGGTGAAACGTTGAACTTAAAATATAGTTTCCCAGACGTTATAAAAATATTTGACGACCACAACATTTCATTAAAATTTATTTGCTAAGTAAATGGCAGAAGACATAATGGTTTATACTATTACGACTAAAAACCTGAGTCATATAATTCTATAACAACAAACTTACAAAGTCCTCAAGGACGATATTGTAAACTAACCTTAAACACAATGACGACTAAAGCCTGTTTTGCTCTTTTGACACCAGAAGACTTTATTGTTGTGAATGGTAAAAAATACTCCTTTGAAGATACTTACT